TAGTGGCCAGTGACGTATACTCAATCGCGGTACAAAGCTATTTTATCAAACAACTCAAATATTCAATTATTCAGCGAGCAGTGCAAAATGCAACCGAGTTTTTGTGTGGCCCGGGAGAGGAGGGGAGAGAAAGGTGAATCTTGGACGCTTACTGACATCCGTTAGCGCTGTAACCTAGGTAGCCCTTCATCACCCTCAAGAAGGAGATTTGTCGAACGTACTCCATTTTCGCCTAGTGATTTGTTACCATAATCACCTAACTCTCCCAACCTAGTCGGTTCTGACTGCTCTGTTCTGCCACCGGACACCACACCTTCTTTCAGTGCTCTGAAGCAAACTAGATTCTCAACCTTTGGAATCACACCAAACCTAATTTGTACAGCAGACAACGTCGGCGCATATTCGCAACCTGCATTCTGCGCTATGATGGCTGGCTCAAAGTAAGAGGAAAGTGGCACAGAGCATACTAAAGAGCACTGTACCGGCATAGTGACGCATGAGCACACATGCATTGGACGAGTTCCTACAGGTTCTAACAGGTCCCTACGGCTAATCGTACCAGCAATTTTATAAAATTAAAGTCCCGACTCTTAATGCTGCGTTTTTAATAAACCAATTGCCTCAAATCACTTAATGCATGCATCATCTTTCATTGTTATGTGCCATTCAACCGTAGAGGTGTTGATGTGTCCCTCCAAACTTATCGTTTTAAATAATAGACCAACTAGGTCCTGCCTAAACAAATTTATTAATACGTTGCTAATGTGCCATTGGATTAGATAGGTGAGTGGGCGATTCCAGTTACGACTGGAGCCTCAGACAGGCAATTGAAAATACAGCTGATTCGCATAACTCGATTCTCTCTGAAGACAATGTATGAGGCATGAGGCTTGATACGCTTTGGTCATAAGTACGGAGATGAAGTGAAGTGGAGACTGTAATACCTTTTTGGTAATTTGAATCCATGCAACCTAAAGGGGTGTTCAGTATTTTTTTCTTGCGCAGCCATTGCTTTCCTGTTGATTCACGCAAGTGCCTTCGGTGTTCACGTTGTCCCTTTCTTGGGTTGATAATTACAACTGATTCAGGGCCTGAAATACACATGCGATTCAATTATGTAAAATTATGATGTCAGGGGCATAAATCACCGATCTTGGTCGGTTCGGAGGCATCTTCTGTGAACCGCAAGGCTGCTGTATTGTGAGCTCACCTCAATTGGTAATTATTATTAGTTGGCTTATTTACTGCAATTCAAATACATTTTACTAAGCTAGCGCTCTCATTCCTCCCACCATTTGACCCTGTCCTTATTTCGCCACTGTCTAATATTCAATTCAATCATTAGAAAGCCCGACTACGAATAAGAGTTTTATTTATCTTTAATTTTTCAGAACTCTACCGTCAGGTGCTGAATGGGGATATGAGTTCGTGGTTCCTGAGCTACTCACCTGATTACACACAAACAACTAACAGTGCAGCCACTGTGGAGGGTCGGTGCTCACGAGGTGACAACTGCGAGATGTGTTGCAGTCGTCAGCTCTATTACCAACAAGACTCCCCGCCACACCAACAGCACCACCTAACCAGTCAACATTCAGTGCCAGAGGATCCACCGACCGATTTGCTACGTCGCTATTCGCCTGTGTTGGCGACAAGCTCTCAGGTGAGCAATCACATCCGACAGATTAATCGGGGAGTAATTTAACTTCCACTCATTGTTTCCAATATTGGTGTAAATCTTTTTAAAGAATTAACAACTTTTGTTCACTAACGTTATCGAATGTGGAAGCCCATGCAAGTATACATTTTTCAAGATTTTCTCATGCAAATGAGGACTATGAATGCGTGGTGGATGCGGGAGAACACCTTCGTCTGGCACTTTTTTGACTTAGCAGGAAGGAAGTGTGGAGAGTATTTTTAAAAGAGAATTGGATTTTGAAGAAACCGTTAACAAGCCGAGAAGCAAGGTGCAACTGTTTTTTTCTAATTGAAATCAGGAAGTGTTTACGACGTATTAACTGTCGCTAGTGTCATTTTGTTTGGAGAGGCCAGAATGCTTTTTGAAGGCAGTCTCTCTGGGCAGATAACGTGGACGCTATGTGTAAATACCAGAGGGGATTTGTCGGCTCACAAACGATACTGATTTGCCGGGTCGTCAAAACGTTGTCGATTCTGCAGTCTAAGACTTATTTAGCCAAGTAAATAGAAGGTTTTAAAAGCCCCGTATTTCCATTCTCGCTATGCGTGGTCTCCAAATTCCATTGAAAAGTCCAGTGTTTCCGTTAGAACAAATGGAGCGTTTTTCTCTGTTATTTCGCATGCCACTGGCAAAGCAGTGTGTCCAGCTGCACGTATGGGACGTACATTCTCAATCAGATTATGACAAACAGATGAGCGCAAAGCCCGTAATCAACAGCTGGATTGTGTTTACATTTATAAAGTAGATATAAGGTGTTTCTGGTCACATAACGTTACGAGGAGAAGGAAAACAGTTCTGTCTTTGGGTCTAATTTTTACCCTGCGATAGGCAGCAAATGCTATGCCACTGGAAATTT